TAAATATAATTTGTCCACATCACTGTTTGGATGTGTGTGATAGATGTTCATTAGTTTCCATGTTTTTTGATCCAATTGTTCTTATTCATTTTGAGTCCAGTCTGTCATTTCAACTGGGTATCTAATTACTGGAACGGCCCATGTGTTTATGGCTTTGATTCTATTTCCTCCATTTAATTTTGATTTTAAGATTTTCCACAGTCTTTTGATATATTCTCTTTCTGTCAGTTCTTTAACTTTTGTGTGCACTATGTTGTCTGCTTCTAGTATTTGAAGGTATTTATAATTTTCATCAATTGATAGCGATTTTATAACATTGCCATTTTTAAACTATATTCCATCTAGTTTTTGGACCTTACCATGGTGTTGTTGTTGTTGTTGTTGTTGTTGTTGTTGTTGTTGTTGTTGTTGTTGTTGTTGTTGTTTAAAAAACACCAGACACAGTCAATCAAAATTATGAAAACATTGATCAGTATTATATAACAGATGCAAGTTTTAACCCCAAACCTAAGTATCTGTTAAATACTGGCACAGTATGTATGTTGTTCTCAATATTGTTGTTTCATTTTCAAAAAACTTGAAGGAATCACCATAGGAAAGAGAAATCCAGTAAATCATTTTCAACCCCTGCAGTTGCTTGCTTTTAAATAGGGGTCCCATACTTTCAAGTGATTCACTAGGTAAGATAATGGACACATTGATGTGTCATGTCCAAAAGCCTGACCCTTAAACAGAGACCTTGTAGCACCATTAAACTTCATAACAATGTTTGGTAGTTTGAGTCTTTGTTAGTACCTCTGAACTGACACCCTTAATGGGTTAATGCTAGTGTGAAACCAGGTAATCATTACAATCATATCAATGTTTATCTGAGTACCAGAGTAAAAACAAATTACTTGCTCCTGCCAGGGCTCACCAAAAAGGTAGCTTCCAAAAAATTAAACTTGCTCCATCTTTTTGGAAGATTTTTATTATTATTATTATATTTTATATCCCGCCCATCTAGTCATTCGACTACTCTGGGCAGCATACATCAAACAAAATAAACAATTAAAATAACATCAATATCCAAAAATAATCATTCAAGATGGAAAAAGACAAAGAAGATAGATCAAATAGTGCCCAGAGGGAAGGCCTGCCTGAATACAAGGTTTTTAATTGGCTTTTAAAAATACCCAGCAAAGGGGCCATATGGATCTCTGGGTCCCCCAAGATGAGAATAAACCATTGTTTTTACTCAAGGCAGGCAAAGAAAATTATTCCAGGCAACTTTTTCTGTAGTTGCTGTGATGAGAAGTTATTCCCTGTGAACTTTCATAATCTTTTATAACAGTAGTACAGAAAAGATCTTGTTTTGTTATAAGGACACATAAGCAGCTACATTATAACAAATGTGGTTTCCAGTTTCATCTGAATACAGGAAACACTGGTTTTAGTTCTAGTTGAAGCAAAGCAATATAGTAGTGCTTTGCAAAAACTGGCAGTTCTGCATATTTGGACAGAACAGAAAAAATATTTGTTACAAATTACAAGAGAAAGCTTCAAATTTCCTCTTTTTGAGGATAGCAGAAAGAGGAGTCACAAGCATGCGTCTCAGTGACTAAAATCCTGTGGCTTAGAAAAGTAAGCCACACTAGGGTAGGCTCATTGTTAATCAAGACAATTTCAGTGTCTGTGTTGTATTTTCATAGAACTTCATTTCTTAAATGCAACCAATGTACTTATGCTGTACCTGAATGAATAAAGCAGTATGAGCAGAAAATATTCTTAAGCCAGTACTCTTCCATCCACGTCCAAGGAGGTTAGCTGCAGTGCCATGGGCTGTAAACCTCTTGATGATATTGTGCACAGTGGGCACAGGAACATTAAGATCTCTGGAGATGGACTTGTAGCCCTGAGATTGTTAATGTTTTTCCACAATTTTTTCTCTCAGATCCACAGACCACTCTTTAGACTGCATTCTTTTCTCCATGCTCAGTGTCACACACAACACAAAGGTTGAGTCAACTTTTCTCCATCTTAGCTGGTTGCAAGTGTGATTACTATATTGCTTACACTTCTTAATTGCGGCAGGTGCATCTAAATACAAATTAAAAAAGCATCACATGCTTGAAATGTAATTATTTCTTACAATTTAGACAGGGTGCCAATAATTTTGGCTGATGCATTTTTTGGTTTCTGTGTGGGATTGTATCAGATTTGACTTTTCTTCTCTCTGTGTGTGTGTGTGTGTGTTCGTGTTCTAACGCAAACCGAAGAAATGAACATGTGAGTACCAACACATTTGCTGCTGCAGCAATTTTCTGAGAGAAGGGCTGCATTTTCTGACAGAATTGCAAGGATGCCATTATTTTTGGCCATGACTGTATATGATAGAGTATTTTTAATGTGTCTTTCTTTAGTTTTTAATAAAGTATTTCAAAAAATTTAAAAAGAAAGAAAGAGGTTTATGAAAGTTATAGAAAACTAGAGAATATGTATGAATACTAAGTTAATATAGTGTAGTTAATATGACTGGAGAAAATTGCTACTCAAGCTAGAATTATAGAAGCTTGTGTGCATTTCAGTGGGGATTTTTTTTCACTTGACAACGATTTCTCTTAACAGCGATTTTGCTGGAACGCATTTTTGTCATCAAGCAGGGCACCACTGTATACACTTGCAGAAAGATTAAGTAAAAGACATATAATCTGATTAGAATTAGAAAAGTTACTTTTGGAGGTGGGAGTTGGTTTGATAGATGTTACTATTAATCACTTTGCAGTGACAGATAAGAATTTATGTTTCTTCATACACCAGGTTCCTATCTTGGTAAAATTCAATATTCTGTGTTTCATAGTGCCTAGACTGAATTCAAATGTAATCTGAGGACACTTCTCATTTTGGAAAAAGGTGATAAGCAAAGTGCCCACCTGATATGCATTATGCATAGAGACTCTAGCCATTTGTGCTAGAATAATGACATTGAGCTTCATAATTACATGTAAATCAAATGACTGTAACAGCTACATGTTAGCTATATTTTTATAATTTATATATCACAAAAGAGGTGAGTATTGAGCTGAATCCTTGAGACTTTCTGGTGAAAATGAGCCATTTCTTTGATTTCTACATTTGGAAACCTCTGAGAAATCTGAAGTCAATAAATAATATCCAGAGTATATCATACTCACACTTCTGCTTCACCATTTTATTAAGTTTCAAACAGCCCTTCAGAATATTTCACACAAAGGGATTGCAGTCATATCCCAACTATCCTTGCTTATGTCCTGTCCCCACAACCATAGTACAGATCATGTGCTCATGTTCTGGGATCCTCTACCACTGGGTGATTCTACATTAAGGAAGTTTCTGTTAGAAGTTGTGTGTGGTATAAGTATAAAAACTTCCATTTTAAAAAGGCAAGAAATCCAGTTCTTAAAAAAAATAAACAAAGCAAGCCTTTGGATCATGAAGGTGGTATATGGTGCTTATGTACCCATGATTCAAAATGCCAGCAAGCAGGTCAGTATTGCTGTACAATACTGTCCCCATAGTGCCAGCAGGAAAAAGGATGGCAAGCTTTAAGCAAAGGGCACTTTGAATGTTGACAACACCTATGATAGCAGTTGCATACCCTCTTGATCTCACCATTCACATTTGCTGAAAAACAACCCTGACAATTGGTTTGTGTTTGAGTGAGAAGTGGTTAACTGATGAAAAAAAAGGGTTTCTGGAATTTTTCCTTGCTTGGTGTCACTTTGTGAATGGTAGTGAGCATAGGAGGGTATCCTGTAGACCATCTTGACTGCTGACACTGGTGTTATTAGCATTCAGGCTGTTTTTGCTATGTAAAACTTGGCATCGTTTTTGCTGCTGGTAATGCAGACATGATATTGTGTAGCAGTATCAGGCGATTTCCCGGTGTTTTGAATTGTGGATACAGAAGCACAATATCCCACATTCATAAAGTGAAGATTTTCTGAAGAATTGGATTCATTACCTCCTCACAGAGCATAAAACCTTGTACATTTCAGTGGAATGATCTGTGACTTGATAATGACAACTTATGGTCATTATCATGAAACACAACATTACCAGGATATTATGTACTGTGATCACAATATTTGAGGTGTTAATATAATTGGGGACAGGTAAAGCTGGTTCAGGAATGTATAGGGATGTGGGGATGCTGTGGGTTAAACACCAAAGCCTCTGGGCTGCAAGGTCGAAAGATCAGCAGTTTGAATCCATGAGACAGAGTGAGCTCCCGTTGCTTGTCCCAGCTCCTGCCAACCTAGCATTTCGAAAGCATGTAAAAATGCGAGTAGATAAATAGGTACCACCACGGTGGGAAGGTAACGGCGTTCCGTGTCTAGTCACACTGGTCACATGACCACAGAAACTGCCTCTGGACAAATGCTGGCTCTACAGCTTGGAAACAGGGACGAGCACCACCCCCAAGACTCGGACACGACTGGACAAAGGGGAACCATTACCTTTTTAAAGCTTGGTCAGAATATGAGTAAGCATTTTTTTAAATTAAAATAAAACATTAACACATTTAAAGCAGAAAGTGAAACTGGGCAGGAAATCTTAGCAAATGTTTACCCTTCTTCACTCAAATCTAAATCCACTTGTTATTCCTAGCTAGAGGAAACTTAGTTTAAAAAAAGGCTGACTTTCCATTCAACAATTGATACATTGGGTCTACTTTAGTCAGAAGTGCTATTTTGCTTTTAATTATGGATTGTGTGTGTGTGTGTGTCTATATCCCCCCCATTTCCATTAGCATAGTACTATACTCAAGTTTATTTTTATTGGGTTCAGTCACAGTGTCTCAATACTGAAAATCTAAGATTAAAAGTGGGGTTAAATCATAGGCTATACAGATAGCTGTAATGCAAAAATATTACGTAAAATATAACCAATAACATGTTTTCTGTACCATGAACATTTACATTTTTGTGATCCTGTAATTGCTTTAAGCATGCAATTTCCCCAACTTTTTATCTTGCTAGAATTTCAAAAGAAGCAACCAGATGATGAGTCCACTCCGAGCACAAGCAGCAGCCAATCGGATTTGTTCTCTGGAGAAACAAATAGTGACAACAGTAATACCTCCCTTTCTACACAGACTGTTAACTCCAACCAGCAACTTCCGACAGAATTGAATGTAACTTCATTGAGCAAAGAGGAATGTAAGTGCACAGTCCCACAGTCTCTCTCTCTCTCTCTCTCTCTCTCCCCTTTTCTAGTGACTTTTGTTTTAGCTTCAAAATAGAGAGAGAGAAAAGGTGGAAGATAACATGAAAACTATTATTTTTGTTGACTGCAGGAGAAAAAAGTGAATAATACATTTTTTAAAATTCTGATTTACTTTTAGCTAACTAGGAAGGACTCAGTTTGCTTATACTTGTTCCTTTCAGAACACTACAACTTGTCTGTCTACAGTATAATGATGTCTTTTAGTCTGGAGCCTATGTTCCCTCAATTGAAGCTTTTTTGAGAAAATTCCAGATTTTGTCAAATTCACTCAATGCCTAAAGCAGGAGTACAGAATCTTTTTTAGCCCAGGAGCCAAATTCCAATTCTGTGGATACCATTTGAGACCAAAGCTAACTAGTTGGTGCTATTCTTACCGATTTGGAGCATACGAAGAATACCTCATATCTATGCGTCTCTGCTTAAAAGTAAGTTCCAGTGCAACAGCTTCCAAAGCAGCATCAACTTCCAAAGTGGCATAAAGTCAGTTCTATGCAACATCCACAGAGCAGATTTAATAAAGGCATGCAGTGTTATTTCAGGTGGAAAGTGAATCACTACTTTCCCTCTTCTGCTTGGTGAAACTATTCTACCAGCTAGATAGGCTAATGAGATATAGCCCAAAGAGTCTTTTGTTTGAGTGTCCAAAAGAAGGATGCTAGAAAACCATAAGCTATCATGTATTGGAGAAATTCCATAAATATCTAGACAAGATTTTTATAGCTGTGTTTCAGTTTTAATAAATGAGTAGTTATACCAGTGTTGTTCATTACATATGTATTCTGTTTTGCAGAGAATGTTATGATAGAAAGAGTACTTAATATTCATCTGTGTGTTTCAATGTCATAAGTTGTTTTCAAAGTAGTGAATAGTGTGTAGCATTCACAAAGACAGTTGAAGCTACAGTCTCTTGTGTTAAATAGATGTTATCTGGTGTAGGCAGGACAGGGACTCTTACCCGAATATGAGATCCAGATCCAGGTTTTTTCTACTGCTAATAGTCGAAATCAAGTTTGAATGAGATAATGGGTTAGGGTAGATTCATTCATTCAAAACATTTTCACCCTGCCTTTCTCCTAAAATAGAACCCAAAACAGCTTACATTATACAGTGGTGCCTTGCTTGACGAGGATAATCTGTTCCATTCAAATCGCTGTCAAGCGAAATCCTTGTCAAGCGAAATGAAAAAAGCTCAATGCGTTCCAATGGGCGAAATACCTCGGCGTCCACCAAAGATCCTCCATAGAGCGGCCATTTTCTGGTGCCTGTAATGTGAGGAATCCGTCCTAAGCACAGCGGGGAGCCATTTTAAACAGCGGGCAGCCATTTTGAAACCCGACGATCAACTGTTTTAAAATCGTCGTAAAGTGAAAAATCGGTTCCTGAAGCAGGGAACAGATCATTGTGAAGCGATTTTTCTCATTTAAAACATTGTTTTGCGATCGCAAAAGCGATTGCAAAAACTTCATCATTAAGCGATTTCCTCATCTAACAAGGTAATTGTCAAGCGGGGCACCACTGTAATGGTTTGGTTTAGATTATACCCAGGTACCCCAGTGGTTTTTCCTACTTTCTTCAATTTAAGCTTGAATTTTGCTGTAAGAAGCTGATGATCAGAGCCACAGTCAGCTCCAGGTCTTGTTTTTGCTGACTGTATAGAGCTTCTCCATCTTTGGCTGCAGAGAATATAATCAATCTGATTTCAGTATTGCCCATCTGGTGATTTCCACGTGTACAGTCACTTCTTGTGTTGTTAGAAAAGAATGTGTGTGATGACCACCAGCTTGTTCTCTTGCCAAAACTCCATTAGCCTTTTCCCTGCTTCGTTTTGAACTCCAAGGCCAAACTTACCTGTTGTTCCTTTTATCTCTTGACTTCCTACTTTAGCATTCCAGTCCCCTAGAATGAGAAGGACATCTTTCTTTGTTGTCAGTTCTAGAAGGTGTTGTAAGTCTTCATAAAATTGGTCAGTTTCAACCTCCTCAGCATTGGTGGTTGGTGCATAAACTTGGATTACTGTGATGTTGAAAGGTCTGCCTTGGATTCATATTGACATCATTCTATCATTTTTGAGATTATATCCTATTACAGCTTTTCCCACTCTTTTGTTAACTGTGAGGGCTACTCCATTCCTTTTAGGGGCTTCTGGCCCACAATAGTAGATATAATAATCATCTGAATTGAATTTGCCCATTCCCATCCATTTTAGTTCACTGATGCCCAGGATGTCAATGTTTATTCTTGCCATCTCTTGTGTGACTGCATCCAGCTTGCCAAGGTTCATAAATCTTACATTCCAGGTTCCTATGCAGTATTTTTCTTTGCAGCATCGGACTTTCCTTTCACTTCCAGGCACGTCCGCATGTGAGTGTCCTTTCAGCTTTGGCCCAACCACTTCATTAGCTCTGGGGCTACTTGTCCTTGTCCTCCACTTTTCCTCAGTAGCATGTTGGACGCCTTCCGACCTGAGGGGCCCATCTTACAATGTCATATCTTTTTGCCTTTTGTTTCTGTTCATGGGGCGTTCTTGGCAAAGAAACTCAAAGGTGGATTGCGTTTCGTCGGAATTCTCCACTATGACCTGTCGGTCTTGGGTGTCCCTGCACAGCATAGCCCACAGCTTCTCTGAATTACTCAAGCCCCTTCGCCACAACAAGGCAGCAATCCATGAAGAGGCTAAAACGGATTAAAAGCAATAAAAACTACAAACCATCCTGTTTTAAGGCCCCTCTTAGACAACCAGTCATTAAGGCCAAACTTCCCAAAGAATGTGCAGTAGCACCCCTCACAGCACCCCACATCTCCCTGGGGTGCCGTCAAACCAGCCAGGGGCAATGCAGAATCATTTCTTTGTTTCTTCACTGAGCCAGCAGTGCTGCTGCTGTTCTTTTGGCTGGCTCCAGCTCCTTCCTGCTTCTTCGTTTCCTGCTCTGCACAGCACCCCTCACCACTTTTCCTGCACAGCCACTTTTGTTCAGAGGAGCCTCAAGTGGGAAAAGTTTGGGAACTACTGCATTAAGAGAAAGCCTCCCTGAAAAGAAAGGTTTTCACCTGCTTGCAGAAGAACAGAAGAGAGGAGGCCAGCCTGGTCTCCCATGGGAGGCTGTTCCAGAGTCTGGGAACAGTGACAGAAAAGGCCTTGTTCTTTATCATCACCAAATGCACCTTTGAGTGCAGTGGGACTAAGAGAAAGCCATCTCCTGATTACTTTAATAATCAGACTATAAAGGGAAATGCAGTCATTGAGATAGCTTGGCCCCAGCTTTATAGGTCAAAACCAGCACTTTGAATTGTGCTCAGAAACAGATCAGAAGCCAGTGGAGCTTCTGTAACAGGGGGGTTATGTGATCCCTGTAACTAGACTGAGTTAATCTGGCTGCAACATTTTGGACCCACTGAACTCTTTTCCAAAGGCAACCCCGCAGAGAGCACGTTACAGTAATCCACCCAGATTACTGAGGCATGTGTAACAGAGGCATGTAGTGCCCCAGCCAGATCAAATCTCTCCAGGATGGGCCCAAGTAGAGCACTAGTTTTAACTATGTAAAGTCACTTCTTCTGCTGCTGAAACCTGAACATCCAGGTTCAGAGACAAATCCAGTAGCACCCCCAAGCTGTGCAACTGTGTTTTCAGAGGGAGTGTAACCTCAGTTCAGCACAAGTTCCATTCCTTGCTCTGCTTTTCGACTGACCAAGAGCACCTCTGTCTTGTCTGGATTAACTTTCAGTTTATTCACCCGTATCCAATCCTTTACTGACACCAGACACTGATCTAGAGCTGAAACAGCTTCTTCAGATTTAGATGGAAAGGATAGAGTTGGGTGACATCTTCATACTGGTAACAGTGAACCTGAGTGAACTCTGGACTCCCAGTGGTAGATGTTAAATAACATAGAGGACAAAATAAAAGCCTGAGGGACCCCACAAGCCCATGGCCAGGGTGTCAAACAGGAGTCCCCTGGCACCACTTTCTGAGTTCTCTCAGAAGGACTAGAGCTACCATAGAACAGTGCCTCCAAGTCTCATCCTGGAGACATGGCCCAGAAGGATATCATAGTTAGTGGTATTGAAAGCTGCTGAGAGTCTAGTAGAATCAACAGAGACACACTCCTCCTGTCCAGTTCCTGACATATGCCATCCACCAAAGCAGTCTCCATCTGATAATCACGTCAGGTTGAAATTGATCTAGATAATCCATCTCATCCAGCAGCCCTTTTAAGTGAGAAGTCATGACCTGCTCTAGCACCTTACCCAAGAATAGAACATTACTGACTAACTGGTAATTATCCAATACTATGGGATCCCATTAGGGCTTTTCAACAATGATCTTACAACTGCTTCCTTTAAGCAGGCTGGGATCCTACCCTGCTGCGTGGAGACATTCACCACTACTACTTCCATTCCCCCTCTGGCACCTTTTTTTAAACCAGGAAGGGCACGAGTTCAACAAACATGTGATATACCACCTCTCCAAAGGTCCTGTTCACATCATCTGGCTGCAAAAACGTAAACTTATTGATTTACATAGGAGAAGCAGGGGTCTTCACTGGAACTGTATCAACTACAACATCCAAGTGAGAACAGATCCAAGCAAGATTGCCTGCAAAGTGTCATGCAAATCCTTCACAGAAAGCTATATTGTGGTTTGTATTCTCTTCCTGTGGGGCAACTTATAATAGGCCCATGACCATTCACAAGAGCTCTGCCAGATGACTCTGTACAGATGCAATGGAGGCAGAAAACAGTGACTTACGGCATTTGCTGCTGCTGCTGCTGCCACTACCATGGAGTATGCCTTCCAATCAGACCTAGCCCATGTTCAGTCAAATTCATCCTGGGTTTTCCACCACCATTGGTCTAGTCTCCATCCCAGTCTGTTGCTCTTTCTGTTTTCAGAGGATATAACAATAGGGCCCATTGTAAAGAGAAGAGAAGA